ATGAAACTTCACTGAGGACACTGAAATTAGAATTTCATTATTACTTTCACATCATAAAATATTCTTCTTTTGATTTTCTCCCACCATTTAGAAATGTAAAAACCATTCTTAGTCTGTGGGCCACATACAGACAAGCAGCAGGACGGATCTGATTCAGTGTTTGCTGGTCCCTGTGACAGACACGCAACAAAAATCTCTCCCTTCCCTTGTTCTTTACACACATGCACACACATGCATACACACAGGCAAGTGCACACACACACACATAGGCACATGCACACCCCACACAACTATGGAGATGCAGAGGCTCAGGCAAAGTCCCCCCTCGCCTACCGGCATGACACCAGCAAGCAGGCTGACTGCATCTCACCCAATCCAGTCCAATGTGCGCTTTTTGAGGGGAAAAAAACAAAGTCAACTGTAATTTTAATCTAGTTTTTGATTTACATGATGATTTGCTAATATTTGAGCTGCCTCAGACTTCATTGGCCATGAAATTGAAGCAGAATATTAGCAGTTATTTCCAAATTGGTACCCTGTGAAGTATCACACATGCTTCCATTTTCTGAAAGGAAATGTAATCCATACATTCTGTGCGACATTTCCCCCACAGACTTTACTGGAATCTTCTAAACGCTCTGCCTTGTTAGCCAGGTGTGATTATGAGGCAGGGCATGGATCTCTCAGTCCGAAGCCAGTGGTTGGCCAATGATTCCCACAAACTTTCCACCAGTCTGCAGGGTCAGAATCTTGTATTTTTAGAAATAACGAGACACCCCCAACAAGAGAGGGAAGACAGTCATGGGGTTGCTCTTGGCTCAGGGCCCAACCTGCTGCCTCTGCTCCTCGTGCCGTCCAGGGTGGGCCGAAAGGCTGCAGCACACACTTCGGGATTTCAGGCGGGGAGCCCCACCCCCACCTGAGGCCATAGCCCATGGCCTGAGTCACATGCTGTTTGGGGTGAGAACTAAACACTTACCATCTGCAGAGGAGCTCAGCTCCCTCCGGGCGCTGCCAGGTGGCGGCTGCAGCCCCGTAACAGCTGGGGCCTGTCAGATGAGGACAGGCAAGGTGTGTGTGTGCATGTGCTGGGACTGTCTCTGCAAAGGTAAGGGCCACAAGGGATCTGCTGGGTCCACCCTCCAGTCCCTTTGTTCTTCTAATGTGTCCTTGAACATGGGCCCTATTCCAATTCAGTACAGCCAAACTTCTTTGCTCCAACTGGTGTCCTAGGTAAAGGGGTTCCTTCTCAGGGAAAGGGGAAAGTGGATCGCTCGCTGCAAGGCACACCATCTCTCCCGGGACTCCGCAGACACATTCTTAGTTCCTTGATTTCTGTTTCCTAGATTTTGCCAGATCCTCCTGGCTAGGTATCTTCTTCTTGCCCCTCTACATCCATTTGCCGCCCTCCTCCATCCAGGTGGACGGCATCAGTGGGCAACCTGGAGCTCCGGCTCTGGGTGGGCGTGGTGAACGGGAGGCGTGAGCAGGAGAGTGAGACATGGACTAAGAGACCAGAGTCTCCATCCCTCCGACTCCCTCCCAGCCAGGTTTCTATGGCTTGGCTATGTCCCTCCACCTAAGGCCCAGCAGCTATCAGGGACCCTTTCCCTGCAGGTTCAGCCACTTACCTCCCCCAGACTGTCAGCCCTGTGGATGGTAACAGCTCCCCAGGCCCATGAGTCCTGCCCCAGGCCTGCTGGACCACCATCCACCCTATCCCATCTATTCCACTCTCCTTATTGTCCTGCCTTTGGCCTATTTCTCCATCTCTGAAATCTCCTGGTTCCTGACTGTTGCACAGAGAAGACTCTCCTCCCTCTTTACGCAGGATGGGGTGCTCCCCAAGGACATCAGAAGCACTTCAGTGGCAGATTTCACGTACTGGCACAGGGTCTCCTGCATGCTCTGTAGCATCCATCCCCCTTTTAGGTCATTGAAGTCCTAGAAACTGGCGACCCAATTTTAACGCCCCTAGTGGTTTTTCAAAGGTCAGGGCCATATGGAGCTCTCTAATTATCTTTGATGTGTTGACATCGCCACATAAGTCCTTGCCTAGGTAACCCATGGAAGTTCCAGGCTGTATGAGGAAGGCTCGAAATCCGACAGAGTAACCAGGTCCAAGAGCCCTGGAAGGATGGTCAGGTGTGGATAAAATCCTGGCTAGGATTTTATGACATGGGGCTTCGAGGGATGTTTATTGAAGTAACAATGGCCTTCTCAGCCACTCATTAGCAGACAGCTATATCTACTTGTCTGAGAGACACCCTTGCTCCTGATGTTTAGAGGGATTGAATTCTATCACCCAGTCTTCCTGGACACGGGTCACCTCCCTGCATTGCAGGAGTGAGAGATGAACTTCCCCCACCAGCAGAACAGCATTTTTAGTTGCAAGCTGCCATGAGGTGTGCAGGGCACCATACACAGAAACTGGCAAATGCACCAACATAATGCCAAGAGAAAACATGAATGGCAGGTTTGTATAAAAGAGCCCATCCTGCACGCATCAAGGTCATTGTCAAGTAGCTAGCTCTAGGTCGTCCTGGTCCAATAGAACTGTCTGAAGCCATGACACCTGTAATCTGCACTGTCTGATATGGTAGCTGGTAGCCAACGTGGCTACTGAACACTCGATATGTGGCCTGTACAGCTGAGGAAATCGATCGTACCTTTTATTTCATTTCAATTAGTTTAAATATAAAAAGCCACAGGTACTACAGGATTGGACACAGCAGCTCCTGATGGTTGTGTCCAAAGAACTTATCCACTGCTGGTGAACTAAAAACTGGCTGGGATCCTCAAGAAACTTATTCCTGGAATAAGCTACTATACAACCTCTTCATCGGTGACACAGGAAAACATCCCATAGCCAGACAGACATAAAAATATTTAGGGAGTGATTCAATAAGCACATATTAAATTGAAAGCACTTCTATGAAAATCAATCTGCATTGTGCTCCTGATTTCAGAACTTGAAGTTCAATTATCGTCTACATGCAACCTCACCCCTGGCTCCTAAAATAGCCACAGAAATACAATTCTTATAGCCAGCAGATGGCAAATATTCACTATAATTTAATATAGTATCTTTCTCAATATTGACCTGTTTGATATCAACACTTCCTGAACACCTACAGAATGTCAGACTCTGAAAAGGTTACAAAAGGCATAAATGACATGATGTTTGCCTTGTCTTAGGATCTGAGCTCTGTGGTGATTGCGGGAGAGTCAGTTATTGAGTTAAGAATGTGAGGGTCACTCACTGAGCAGCTCTGCCCGAAGGGTCTCTTGAACCTTCTCATCTTTCTCCTTGACTTGAACCCATTCAAAGACACTGGCAGGGAGTAAAAAACTATTGTCGTAAACAAGAGTCTCACTTAAGCAGGTGCATTGGCATTTTTTTCTGTAAAATGGGCTCCTAGGAAAGTGAAATAGTAATGGGTTTTTGAAATTTTGCATTTTAGTTCTACACCAAAGAAAATAGACAGCCAATGCCCTCACTTCATGATACAGTCTTAGAAGAGAGGACTTTTTTTCATGATCCTCCAAATCATGGTTGTATTCAAACTATTTGATAACCAATAAGACAGGAACACCAGGTAATCACAAAAGATTACCAACCAATGGGAACCGACCAATCAGACTAGACATTGCATGGGCACCAACCAATCAGAATAGATATTGTATGGGTGCCGACCAATCAGAACGGGTAGAGTGCCTGCCACAGCCCAATGTGCCAGCAAAGCTGCTGATTCTTAGGAGAGCATGCATGGTAGGGACCCAATGTGATTTAAGATCACAAAAGTGTTTTGTAAGTCACGGTTGCATATAGACTTGTCTACCATTTAATGGACCAGCAAGCATGATTGTTGAGTAATAAGAAACATTTTTGTGATGAATTTGTGCCTTTGACTTAGTAACTTGAAGGAATTCATGAGAATCTTAACACATTTTAAAAGTCAAATTCTGCTTCGGCAAAAGCAGGGCAGGGCATGAGGCGTGCTCAGGGCAGATGCTGGTTACCAACCAGTATGGAAATCTGTACTGACCGGTGCAGAGCTCAGCCAGGTCACAGCCCCACCTCAGGGCGAAATACACAGGGACGGGCGCACAGCGACACACACTGAGATCTACGTGGAAAAAATATGTATTTGGGAAAGGCAGCAATTTCATCCTCAGTAGCAACATTTATGTTAACTTTAAACGAGGCAAGTGCACAACAGTCAGAGACCATCAGGAAGATGTGATTTTGTTTTTACAGACATGCCTGTTTGCTCCTTAGAAAACACTTGATTCCTGGAGATGGAAAATGGTGAAAGGGATTGAGTAGAACAAATTGCCAGTTACCAAAACAGTCACAAGGTTGTAAAATACAATGTATTGTAAGACTGTAGGAACTAAGTGTGGTACCAGATGGGGACCGGACTTACTGGGGTGACCCCTTAATAAGGTATATAAATGTCTAACACTATATTGTATACCTGAAACTAATATAATATCGTTATATCAACTATAACTGAAAAATAAAATAGAGGAGACTTAAGAGATACAGTCATTGAATACAATGTAGGAACCCAGACTGAATCCTAAACAAGAAAACAAGTATTAAAAAAAACAAGACAATGAGAAAAATTATAGTACTGAATCACTGTTTCATATTTAAATTTTTCTTCAATTAAAAAAAAAGAAAGCACTTGATTCCTCAACACTACCATCCTGTAAACTAAGCGCATCAAAAGCAAAGACTTAAGAGAAGCAATGCAAGCTTTTGTGTTTTCTCTTTCATTTATTGAAGAAGACATTACCCATTTCCAGTTTTATCCTGGCATTTTGGTATGCGAGCTACAGTCTCTACAGAGAATAATCCACATGTCGGTCGTCCGAGAGCATGAGAGCAACCCGATCAGGGGCCCATAACAATGAATGCCTTCATGGAAATACCCAATAATGAGATATTTCTCCAGGTGCGCAGCAGTTGTAGAATTCAATCTTATTTTTAACTTTCCAGGCAACTTTAGATGTCTGACATCTTAATTGTTGTCCTCTTCTTTCACTGATGATAATGCCCACATATTACACATACATCAACATAATCTCCATGCGATGCAGGGCAATGAAAATACTTTTGAGGTCAGGGGAGGGCACGGACTTAGCTATCACCTCTTAGACCCACGAACAGGAGTGTGCAGTGACGAGACACATTATCGTCACCCATGTGTAGCTCTTACTTAGGAACTTGATGGAATTAACTGAAATCTTGAAACACATTAAAAGTTGAATTCTACTTTGGAAGTTGGGAAGAGCAATTCCTTCTCTGGCTGTGAAATACTCCATTCGAGGATTCCAGCATCGCTTCTTCCAGGTGACACTGGAGGAGCTGGGGCCTCAGGACAACAGAGAGCAGCGCTGACCTCATCTCGACGCAAGTCGTGGGCCACATGCAGCATCTTTCCTACACTAAAGTCACGTTCCTGACCTGTCTAGGGCCGGCCATGCACAAGGTAACCTGTGGGCGGCTCGTTGGGCCCGGCTGGTGGTGATCGGAACCCTGGAAACAAAGGGGAAAAAGGTTTGATTAAATCGGCTGAGATGGCTGTACAAGGCACGCTTGAGAGGAAAGCACCACTCGTCAGATGAGATAAAAGGAGGGTGCAGAGAGGAACACAAATGTCAACACCTGCCCTTCCTTTACCTAAATATTTTCAATAACACACATTCTAGGAATGTCCCAAGTTCAGGCCCTAAAGAGTGATCCATCTCCAAGAACCAATATGTATTTAGATGAAGGCAAATTGCTGCAAAGATGCACTGTTTTGTCTTTCAGTTTTCCAATGGGAATTCTAGCTTTTGAATGAAAACAGAAACTCTTTCTAACCTTAATAACCGGGCACCGGGCTCCTGTCAGGAAGGCGGGAGGTCTTGGCCATTCTCGCTCTGAAGCATCATCCCCTGCAACCCACCGACCCCTCCAGAGGTCCCATGGCCTGCTGAGGAGCGCTGCCCATTAAAATACATGAGACACACTTTCCTGCCAGTGCCCAGAGCACCAGCTCAGATTCCGGGCCAGCATGGTTGCACTTAACATCCTAAATAATGCAGCTGGTCACCATAAATGATTCACACGGTGATGGGATGGCACTGAGTCTCAAGGACAGGCCCACTCCGGCTCCTGGTCTCCATTGATCGACTCCCCGTTGCACAGACCTGGGGAGCCAACGGGGCTCCCTCAGCCACAGGCTGTGGAGTCCCGCTCTCACTGTCTGCCCTTTGTTTCCCCTGCGGGTGGCACGAGTGCATGGCTGTTTGCTAAATTTATCAAGACTTTATTTACGTCGATCTCAATAGGGGAGTGACAAACAGGGAAGATCCGATCCAGGTGCCAGTTGTGCCATGTGCTCATCCCCCAAACTGACAGAACAGAGCTGCCTAGAATAACCAGAAATGGGACCCACCATGTATGGAGGCCTGGAAAGAAGCAGGCAGTGGGGTGAGGGTTGTTTGCTTTAAATATTCATCAACATGCAAAACATTCCCAAACCCCATGGATTCAGGTAAAAATAAAAGGCGCTTGCCTTTCTCATCCACTGTGATTTTTTAAGAATTTCTAGTTGTACCCACTGGTTTTGTCCTAATGCGCCTTATGGGAGGTTCCACCTGAGTTCACTATACTTTGCCAACAGAAACTCTTATCTGGGAAATAATGTTGGTGCTAGAACCGCAGATTTGGTTGGAACAGAGACAATCAGGGTAGAAAAGTGGCATGTTTTGGTATGTGTCAGTTTCGGTATGTGTCAGTTTCAAAAAAAATCAGTCTCTATTTTTTTCTTCCTTCTAAACCTTCCCACAACGTCATGCGTGGCCTGAGGTCTCTGCAGCCTAAAACCCTGTCTCTTTCGCTCACACCGAATTACAGTGCTCCTTTGGACCCACCCAAAACTGGGAGGCTTTCAGGGGTCCCCCAGCTCCGTGGACTCTGCTGAGACCTTCCTCCTGACACCCATCACGATACCCCACCGGCATCGCAAATTCTTCCCTGCACTTGGCGGCAAGCTCAGGGCTTTGGGTTCATGAAACCCCAGTCCTTCCAAAAGCACAGTTATAAGGCCACCCCCAGATCCAAGAGATGGTTTTTTTCTAGAAAGAAATCTACAGTCAGACACGTGTTATGTTTTCATACCGGGCCACCAAATATTTTCCGCCAAGCACATCAGTCACAGGGCAGGTGGTAAAAATACCCAACTGTTGGCCTGATTTCCTACCATCGGACCCAGAAAGTCAGGAAGAGGCTCTGGAGTTTGCATTTAAACAAGCAGCCACAGGGGCTCCCTGTACTGAGACCCACGGCCAAACCAGCCGGGCACCTGGGTGAACATCTGTGTGAGGTGCACTTTCAGGTGTGGGAACCATTCTTTAGGATCCAGGTACAGGAAACGCACCCCCGTTTCTGCCTTCAGAGGCAGGAGCAAGGACTACTTCCTCTAAGCCTCTGATAAGCAATGTCACAGCCATGGGAGACCCCGGCCAGTGAGTGGGCTGAGAGGTGGGGTGAGCAAATAAGGGGCGTCCACACAGCCAGCAGGTACCTCTTCCCATAGTACACGACCCAGCATCACCCCACAGACCTGACCTACGCCAGCCACCGACCTTGCAGCTTCCAGCCATGGTGTCTGCTTTCTGCAGTCAAACCACCAGCACTACAGATGCTGCCCCAGTGACACTGCCCCAGAGACATCGCCCATCTTCTAAGGACTGTCAGCACTGAAAGCATCAAGCGATAACTAGGTTCCCCGAAAATCAATCCCTTCCTGATCTTCCCATGGCAGCGTGGGCCTATGGCGCTCTGGGCCTTCACAGAAAGGATGTTGAAGGAGCAAGAGCTACAGGAAGCCAGTGCAGCAGTGAATAGGTTTTCTCCCCTTCCCGCAGCATTAAAATCCCCGTCTCCCGTTTCAGTAACTGTTCAGTGGAGAATGAAGTGAATATCATGCCCAGTAACACGTGATGAGGATGCGGCCATAGAGGCGCAGGTGCGTGGACACAGGTGTGTGGAGCACTGGGTAGGACAGGAAGTGGTGTTCAAGGCAAGGGGGAGAGTAACCCAGAAACACTACCTGCCCCTCAGAGCGCCACACTCAGCCCCCAGCTGGCTGTGGTCACATCCCACAGGGCTCAGCGTCTGTCCCCCCTCTACCTGTAGAGGAGTCCACATGATTCCAGCAATAGTAGGGCACCGTCCACCCTGGGAGGGGTCCACCCCGACCCCTCTGCCATGTAGTTAGCACAGGCATCATGCATGCCTTGGGCTGAGCAAGTGGTGATTACTGGGTGGCGTGAAATTACAAGCTAGACAAGCTGATCTTTGGCAACAGCCCGCCCTCCATCCCAACGACCCCGCACTTCCACCTTGCTACAACGTAACCAGTGACCCTTAGACCTAGCCCCCTGTGAGGGCCACCGCAGGTGGGTCTAAAACACAGGTGCTCAGGCTGCCTGCCCAACTCTACTGAGCCAGGGTGTCCACAGGTGGGGACCGAGAACCTGAACCTCCCAAAAGCCACCAAGGCCAGCTGATCCCATGCAGGCCTGTGTTCTCTTTGGGCCAAGGACACAGAAGGGAGCCTTGCTCCTAGGCTCGGCCTGGCCCTTTCCTGTAAGTGCTTCCTGAAAACCAGCTCAAGTTCAAGTTTTCTAAATGGGCACCTGCACACAGTGCCTGGGCCTAAACCTCAGAGGCACCCTTTGGTTAGTGATCAAATTGGACCTCTTCCGAACTGCTTGTCCTAAGGTCCCTACACTAAGTTAAAAAAATCCAGCTGGTTGAAAACCCTCTGAAAGTTTCTAGCCCAGACAAAATCAGTTCCCCTGCCCTGAATCCTGTCTGTTCCTTAGGGACCCGGAGCCCCAAGCCAAGATGCACAGCTCCCTGGGGGCCTTATAAACACTTCATGGAACTCAGATGTGTGTGTCCCCAGCCCTCTGGGCCCAGCAGGGTGGCCACTGTTCTTTTTCCACCAATAGATTATTTAGCTGGTTCCATGATTGAGTAGCAGAAACTTCTTAAATTTCTCTCCCTACATAGCTTCAGAACAACACTCGAAGCCGCAGCAGCATCCACGCGGAGACCCGAAACGTCATTCTCCAGCCCTGTCTCCAAACGCATCTAGAGCTCCCCTTTTCCCATCTATACTTCAAGGCGAACCAGCTGACAGGACCCTCTTCCGAATCCCCTCCCCCACCGCCTGCCCCACTCCCCCACCGCAGCCAGGCCTGAGCACGTCGTCTTGTCTCCTGGGAAGACACACGACAGAGAAAGGTCACCACAGAAAAGCCTCGAAGTCCCAACAGAGCTGGGTAGGAGGGAGCCCCTTCATCACCCCAAAACTGCTCCCACTCAGGTCCATGTGTGGGGTTGACAGGTGACATACTTCACAGCCTGGCTGGTGGTGAGTCCCTTTCCCAGCCACCCGTTAATTAAGAGACCAGGCCTTCTAAAGGGAACCTGCTGCATCTCTGCAATTACCCCTCCCAGCACCAGACTCAATGCATCAAACGACAGCAGCATAGACGGGAAGGCCTTCAGCTCAGCATTCTCCTGACGCTCAGCATTCTCCTGACTCCCAGCATGAGAAAGTAGCTTGAACTCACAATCTGTCACGTAGGCCCACCATCCTCTCTTATGCCACAGATCCCTTGTATGTCTTCCTGCCTGGCCACCTTGGCTGCCACCAAGAGCAACCCCAAGGCCCTCCTGCCACACAGCCAAACACCTGTCAGTGCGCCCCTTCCCCTGTCAGTGAAGGCTGGTGTGGCCCACATCACTGGCAAGATGTATAGACTGAGCTGAATCCCAACAGCAGGGAGGGCCAGTACAGCCTGGAGCTGCCCGGGAGCTCAAGTGCACGCTCAGGCGGGGGCTGCGAAGGCCCTGTCTCTGCAGTAGGACCACAGGCTGCCAGCGCCTTCCCTGCAGAACAGAGCCAGGGGCCTGAGCCAGCACGCTGGAGGGAACCCAGTCCCAGGACAGTGTAATAAAAATGTGTCTCTAGGTTAGAGCTGCTTTTCTACAGGTTGGAAAACAGGACTGGTGACATGTATTTTGCCTAATGTGATTTTGGATAAAAAGAATCATATTTTCTGCATATAAACTCGTAATGCATTCACGTGCGACAACCTCACAGACTCTGTGTCAGAAAATTAAAATGCTGGGGACTCAAGGGTCCTGACTGTCTTCTCTAAGTGGACGTCCCTTAGAAGGACACCACCCATCAGAATCTGCCCGACAGCCAACAGCATCTGCACGGGGGCCCTCCCGGGCTGCCCAGGCTCGAGCACCCCACTGCACACCCAACACCCCCATGCGGATGTCTAACAGACACCTCAGGATCTACATGCCCCAGTTGAAACTTCTGGTCTTCCCCCCACAAACCCACCACAAAGACAAGAGATGTCGTGGCCCAGTTCCCTCCAGGGCGGTCGGCTAACCAGAAAATGAGCCAAGTTCACGTTCTCCCCTCGTTCATCCATGGCCACAAGGCAAGGGTTTTCCAACGGCAAAAAAAAAGTCCAAAGGGGGGAAATGGCCTAACTCACCTGCTGAGCTTGCCCGCTGCTCTGCTGCTGGGGACCGCTGGCATACTGCGGCTCCGGAGGGAGAGAGGCGGTCTCTGCAACAGAGGGGGGACCTTGGAGTCACACGTGAGGACACCAGGCTACGCCATCTAAACTATCCTGATATGTAAAGAGGGGCATTGGTCTGAGCCAAGCACCCCCGGAATAGAGTGATCCTTAACCACCAACAGACTGTTTTTAAAGTTGCCTCGAGGTTACACGCTTTCAGAACATAAGTATCCCAATGAAATAAAACTATGGTAGCCAGACTGGAAATCAGTGTCTTTCTTGACATGTGCGTCTCACCCAGAGACAAGATGGACCCGCAGTGTTCACTGCTGACCGAGGGAAATAAACCAACACGGGGTGGATGGGAAAAAAAGAAGCAGCGAGGTTTGGCTTGGGCCCTGATCCTGGTCAAGCTACTTGATTAATGGCTCTAAATACGGATGAATACATACTCGCTCACGGGAAATTTTGCAAGAAGCTGAGATGGCATTATCAAAGGGAGCAGTCCACTCTGTGTGGAAGTCTTGAACCTGTGCATCTGGCGGTGTGGACTGTCCCATGGCAAAGGGAAAAGAATGGGCTGCTGGGAATTGTTCTAATTTTATCCACAAAAAATGATTTTCAGGCCTCTTAGTGAGGATCAATTAACTGAAAATCCTTCTGTGGAATGTGTTTTGCAACAAAACTTATTAGGGCCAGGTCTCCCTCCCCCGCTCCGCTAAGGAGTAGTTTTTCTACCTTAGTCAAGGACCCTTGTTCAAACCCCACCCCTGCCTCTGCCTAGTGAGTGTCCTTCCGAGAAGTGCCTCCATGAGGATGTATCCTCTCAACAAAGGACACTGAGAAGCCACAAAAAGTCTCTTTAAAACTGGGTTGCGTCCATCAACATTCCCCCAGGCTCTGTGAAGGTGGACGAGAACAGGTTTCTCGCCAAGTCCCAGTTCCGCTCGGCCCAAGCTGAGGATCCGGGCAAGGTGCCCCCCGTGCACTAAAATGCCTCCTCACAAACTTTAAGGTAGAAGGCTTTAAAGAAAGAGGATGCATGAAAAAAAATTATTTATAAAAACACGCAAGTTCCTACGTCACTTTATTTTTACGTGTTAGACAAACTAGGTGGGGTTTTTTGCTGTTGGTCTAGTCCTGGAACATTCCCAGTTCTGGAATTTCTCCTTCTCCTAAAAATCACCCAGAAAGGAGTCACCAGCCCAGCTAAGCCACCTGCCTTGTGGAGGAGGTGAAGCTTGGTGAGCGCCCCCCCACCCCACCCCCAGCATTCCCAGGTCTTTCCCTGACCCGCCCATCCACTCACGTTTGGTCCTCTGCTCGTCCAAACTGTATCCATAGTTTTCATTTCCACTTCTTAACTTTGGCTCAAGAGTTTCCTTGTTTGCCTTCACATTTGGAGGTTTCCTAGAATTAGACCATTTTTTAAAAACCAAGTGTTAATGGCCATGGATCTTTTGTTCACACCGCTCTGCCCAGAACATTCTCACACATTGAACTGACTGCAAGCCACAGCTTGGCTGCTGGCTCTGGAGGGTGTGAGACTTGGGACGGACACTCCCAGCCACCCACGAGGCTGGCAGACAGCCTACGTCCTCACACACTCCCGTGATGGGGAGAGATGGAGCATCAGTGTGAGAGGTCCGTGAGCTCCACTCCCAAGTCATATTCAACTCTCTGAACCCAGAGACCAAATAAAGCAGTGATGGCAAGCTGCAATCCTCAGGCTAAATCTGGCCCACCACCTGTTTTATAAATAAAGTTTTATTGAAACACAGTCATGCCTGTCTGCTTCCATGTTGTCTATGGCTGCTTTCATGGCACAACAGCAACGCTGGGCAGCTATGACGGAGAGCATGTGGCCCACAACACCAAAAGTGCTCACTATCTGACCCTTCATAGAAAAAGCCTGTGACCTCTAAAATAAAGCAACAATCACTGCAGCTTCCCAGGGACACGAAGTGTGGCAATGAATGGCCAAAGATGTTTAAATGTCCGTGCTTGACCACTAAAAATTTATTACAAGGAAATATGCCCTGGCTGGCGTAGCTCAGTGGATTGATCACGGGCCTGAGAACCAGAGAATTGTGCTTCAATTCCCAGTTAGGGCACGTGCCTGGGTTGCAGGCCATTTCCCAGCAGGGGACGCACAAGAGGCAACCATACACTGATATTTCTCTCCCTCTCTCCTTCTTTTTCCCTCTAAAGATAAATAAATAAATTTTTTAAAAAAGAATTTATTAGAGGGAAATAATCTAAGATACATGCAAAGATTTACTTGGAGGAATGTTCACTCATGAGCTAGTCACAGCAGCAAAAACTGCAAACAACCTCGGTGCCCCACCGTAGGGGACTAGCAAAATAAATGCATCTCTGCAGTGGAATCCCACGCCACCTGGAGAAATGATCACAGGTGAGAAAACCGCAGGAGAGTTCAGGGACGCAAAACCTGTCTCCCCAGGCATGGTAGAACAGTGCCTGGCACACATCAAGCCCTCAGAACATACGAGCTATTAGCATTGCTACCATTGTCACATTCATTGCTGCCGCTGTTATCAGGACAATGGTTCTCCTCCCGTTGTCCTGCCTAACTGTCGATTGCTGTTCAGTGACTACAGTCACCTAATATCCCAGCGACTAGAAAAGAAAGATGCTGCACAGTCGGCAATGGTGAGCCAAAGACCCCAAGCTGCTGCCACCCAGAGACAGCTGTCTAGAGAAATGCCAGATTCACGATCAGGGTCACTTTTCCTTTCTGTCCTCTTGCCCTAAGACTGGCCCCAAAAGAGGCATAATTTCAGGTTGCTGTTTTGTGGTGCCCTCAGAGAAGGGGCGGCTGCCTCTCTCACAACACCCCCCACCCCAGGGAGGGTGTGGGGTCCGAGAGCAAAGGGGTAGATTCTATTATACTCGAATAACCATCTTCATTCACCACGGGTAGCCTAAAGCTATTTGACAATCACAGCATTTCAAAACACATGTAATAAACTACTGACAACTAGATGTGGTTTTGTTTTAACACCCCCACAAATCCACAGCTGTCTAAAAATCCCTCCCCTTAGTACACTTATAATTAGGTAAATATTGCAGACACACACTGGCTATTGAATTATTATAAAGTCCTCGACAGTTACCTTGAAAGTGCTTGCAGCTACCCCTGGACAGCTGCAGGAGTGGCAGGAAGTCCCGGTCCCTCCCCGCCGCCTGGCCTGTCTGCCCGGTCAGTTTCCTGCACCTTCTTCCCCCATCCAGCTGGCCTCACTGTTTCCCACCACCCCGGAAACTCCAGCAGGACCTCTGCCAGGCTCTCAAACACCCTTGAGCCTTGACTCAGAGCAGGAGGGACGACAGTGATGGTGCAGAGTGTCCTCTTGTGGAAAGAGCTGCAAATGCCAGGCACCAGGTAGAAACTCTTCATTTTCCCCAGTGAGCCAGGAACCGTGGAGGTGCAGGGTGACAGCCCACCCGATGTGCTCCGCACCTAACGAGCCCTGTGAGCTTGTGATGGCATGGGGGGGTTTCGGAGTTGTCCCCTTTCAGTGCTTCGTTGTGAGTAGCAGAACCTTAAAATCCTTCAGTTATATGGGGTGTGTGTGTGTGTGTGTGTGTGTGTGTGTGTGTGTGATATTGGTGGTGTTTGCTTGCTTTTCATTTGCTCAGGTTTTCAGAAAGTAGATGTGACTTAAACTCACCTTACTTCACTTTGATAACTGGATTCTGAAAAAAATTACATCAGCAGAGTCAGGACATTTATTCTGAAAATAAAATCTCATCAATTTTATAGACCTCCCCCCTGATTTTAATACATTACTGAATACTGGTGACCCAGTAGGTATTAAGTTCCCCCACACAGAATTATCAAATGACTTCTATGCATAAGGAAAGTAGAATGCATTATTCACTATCATTAATGTGAATCACCCCTGAGTACCTGCACTATGGTAGGTTCCTAAGAAGGACTTAGGGAATTCTGAATGTGACCAGCGAGAAGTAAAGACACCTGTTCACCCTGCTGTCATTCACTCAGTACTTACCTGCTGTGGGCCAGCCCTGTGCTCGGTATTATCTCATTTATTCATTACGGCAGCCCAGGAGGTAGGTGTTAGTGTGATCGTATTTTTAGCAGGCTACACTAGACACCACTAATATTCGCATTACCATATTTTTAACAGATGAGGAATTATATGGCTTAAGCACCATATTTCCGTAATTCTAAAATACATGTTCAATGACTATGTACCAAAGGTGTGCGTTCATACCACTGTGCCCACCCTCCCCTCAAAGGCTGTCATCAAATTGCTAATGTTTCCACTCAGTGGGCTCTTGGATGGGAGGGAGTAGAGACCTTGACCATGAGAAGTAACAGACACACAGCCGCCCCACCCGTCCACCTCTGAAGCCAGGGTTCCTTGTAGCCCTGCTGCCTCGTCCAGGCCTTCTCGTCTCCGAGTTTGACGAAATCCAAAAAGCCGTCATTTTCCTTGTTGTTTTAAGATAATGCTCTCATGCATTTTCAGTTCTAATAATGTCCACTGGTTCACACCCCAAAGGGAACCTCAGGAGGGGTCTCATTTGAAGGAGAGAGGTTGCCTGGTCTCCCTCCGGCACAAAGGGGGTGTCGCTGGTGCGCCTGCCAGGACCAACTACAGGAGGTGGGCACCCCCCCTGGAGCTGTGACCCTGAGGCCCGCAGGCCCTCTGGGTAGGGTCCTGGCCACCCTCCCTCATCCCCAGATAACCAGTCAGAACACAGAATTCTCCAGGCACCAGCAAAGCAGAATGTCAGAAATACTTTTGAAAAAAAAACTTGACATGTAATATTTGTAAGGATGGAAATGATTGTCTTGGGGAAATCCCGAACTTGACTGGCTCCTCCACGTCATGTCAGGGTGAAGTGTGTGTCCACTGTGAGTGACAGCCAGTGGGGGCGGGCCTTGGAAGGAGGCTCTCCCAGGCCCTCGCCGGCGCCTGTCATGGAACAGCTCACTCTTCCGTGGGTTTTTAATCCCAAAGTTAAATAAAAGATCGATTCTAGGGTGGATCACAGAAGCACTTAACAGTTTATGGAATGCTCACCACCCACCTCCAGGGTGGTACTTACTCCTATTTTGTAAACGAGGAAGCTAAGAATCAGAGAATCGAGCTTCTGCACACCCTCCGGGGGCCCCCAGCATCTTCTCACGAGGCCAGTGTGGAACAGACAAAAGCCTGTGAGAAGCGGAATCCAAGCAACCAGGACATTCCCCCACTCTGCTGCAGTAGCCAGTGTGGAAGGCAATCCTCCGACAGCACTGAATAACCTTGCTCCCTTCTGAACTACCATGTAAGTTACCCAATAGTTTCCATTTAAATTCCTATTTCACTTGAGTAATCCATCTGTGCCATCGAGGGTAACCCCAAGCAAAGTCCCGTCAAATCTGGGCCAACGGGGGTTCGTGGTCTTTCATTTTTTGTTTCCTAGGGAATAAAGTTGTGTCACAGAATCAGCACCCAAATCACAAACCAACTCACACGAGAGCTGAGGCTAGACCACGCTCTTTGCATGGAATGTTTCACTGAGCGATATATTTTGTGTAAAATGTTTATTTAACCCGGTGCCTGGCACACACACCGAGTGTGCATTCAACAACAGTTAGTGTTAATAAAAGTAAAGATGCAAGTACACTGACATCAAAATATCGATTTTTAAGGCCACTAACTTACTTGTAGAAAATATCCAAATAGAAGTAGTTGAAGGTTTTATAAGACAAAGATAAGGATGGACATGCCCTTCAGCACTCGGAAAGTCCTGCGCCATCCACACTCCACAGAAGCAACCGTTTCTGATGTCACAAACTACCAAACTCTACGACAAGCCCACCCTAGTGTGGAGCCAGACCCCCAAATGAGGCCACTGCCTTCACAGATCTTGAAGAATCTCAGAAGACCCCATTCAGAAGAAATGTGAAATCATTTTTCTTAGTTTTATTTGTACTCTCTCTGTTAACTCTCTCTTGTTTCTTTCTACCACTGCATCAACATTCACTTACAAAGGACGACTTGGAATTCTACAAAATCAGAAACAGTCTTACACTGTGTTTGGATGGATAGGTGTTACGCTAGAAAAAACACAGCACCTAAAAGACAGTTCACAAGAGCCTCATATCTGTGCAAAAAAGCACAAAAAAATCACACACCCAGTCAGTGTCTTTGGTGGTCAAGGAGCCCCCTCGTCACCTTCTCAAAAGCTTGAAGACCTGTCCTCCTGGGGGGCTGGGCAAGGGGGAGCACATCAGGCCCCAAAGGAAATGCTCTCTTCTTTAAGAAGCTTCGCCCCGCTCTGAGACCTTCACATACTTCCTTCTAAGGACCCCGAAAGCCAATGTACTTTGGAAAGAGCTGATGAACTCATGAACTTCAGCTGCTCGTACCAAAAGTGAAAAATACATACAAATAAAAAAATTACCTTTTTCCTGCTTCCTGGAGACACAGCAGCAGCAGAATATTATAATCAGAATGATGATCAGGATGAAAAGCAATGAAAGCGATACAGCAAGTAGGGCTATGGCCCAGGTAGGCAACGAGGTATCTGCCACATCGACCCTGCCTGTAAGGTCGGAAAAGGGAAAAAGAAGCATTTTAATGGTGCTGGTCATGGCTGGGCCCGGTCGTCCCTGGTTCGGCCACACGATAGGCTAGACTATGTTTTGCAGTGATATTACACCCATCTGGTGTGCTACAGCTCCAGGTCATGGGCCAACTTTCTCCCTTCACTGTGCTTCAATATTCAATTCTTGGCAGCATCTCCCATGGCTACACTTACTGCTGCCCATAAACACCTGCTTAGTAACACAGCCCAAGTGCCCACCAGTTAACGGCCTTTCCATGCCCGAAAGAAATGAGGACAAATTGAGGGAGGGTCCCTCCTGAGGGAACCTGGTGCCAAGCCTTCCCTCGGGGCCACCCAGTCCCCACCCACGAATTCATTTTTCATGCAGCAATTGCTCTTCCCTTGGCTCTTCGGGCACCGCCTTCGTCCACTTCGCCCTCTTGTTTCGTCCAGTCCTTACAGAGCTGGGGCGGGAGAAAGGCTGAGCAGGCAGGGCACCCGGGAGGTGGAAGGGGGTGAGGAGGGAAGGAAGGAGGGAGGGAAAGTCAATTCGATTTGTGACAGCCATGCCTTAGGCACAGACGTCCAATGCGCCATCATGTGGCTATCTAAATTCAAGTTTAAATTAATTACAATTATATACAGTTGGATGCTCAGAGCCTCAGATGCACTGGCCACATTTCAAGGGCTCAAGTGCCACAAATTCTGAACACGGCCTTCATCACGGAGAGTCCGGTTGGGCAGCGCCACCTAGCCACGCATCATGGGAACTGCACTGATGTTCCAAAAAGCCTTGACCAAAGACAGTGTCTTTGGTGGTCAAGGAGCCCCCTTGTCACCCCCTCTACCAAAATGAACCACAGTGAAATCAAACCGCATTTCAAGTCATCTGTTTAAACGTGCATTGCTATTCAGTAAAGGCTGCCACCCTGAGTGCCTGGGTGGTATCTCAATGTAAATGTGTTTCATTAGATGCTAGTCATTAGAAAATATTAAAACAACAGACTTCCTAGGGAGGAAGACAAAGTTTGCTTAAAAATCAATGAAGCTTCAACAGGTGGGCCTGGGGCTCCGTGTGCATGGAGCCGTGAAATAGGACGGCCACTGTTTGCTTGTGCCCCCTTTGGCCTCTGACTCACTCGCCTGTAACAGTCCCTGCCCCTCCCCCACGCTGTTCAGAGGCTCGAGAGATGCGTGTGAAAGTGTCAAGAACACTAAGGTGTGATGCACGCATTCAAGACTGAGGTTTGAAAATGTTAGGAGCTTCTGTGTAAGGGAGCCAGCTGGGGTTCCACATGAAGGCCTGGCTTAAAATCCAACAAATAGGCTTACAATTCGTTCACCCTGGACCAAGTCAACACACTCTTTGACGTACTGAAACGCTCCGTCCCCGCTGCAGAAAACTATCAGCGCGCCACGCTTCTGTCAACCCAGTGCTGACACGATCACCTTCGTCTCCACACGAACGCACACACAGCCAGCCTCTGTCCCACGGGGGGGACCTGTTTAAAGACAGGGAAGGGCCACCTCGCTGGGGTCGGTGACTGAATCCAGGAAGAGAGCAGGCAGTCATGTGACCTCACTCCTCTCTTGCCCTTTAATTCAACTGCCGGGTTCAGCCAAGGGATGCCTGCACTCCCCAAAAAGCCCCAAACTCTCCCCAAAATGGCAGCTGGCACCCATGGCTCATTCTCTCACTTCCTATTTGGTGACCACACTCCTTTGGGGTTCAGATCTCCTTCCTGAGCTTCATGCCCAGGAGAGCGCAACACTCTGCCTCCGCTGCAGCAGCACCCAAAGAAGTGCACGGGCGTGTGCCCCATGGGGGTGTATGTAACATGGTCCCAGAGCTGCACAGAAGAGCCTTTCTTACTTCAATAACAATGTTTTCACTTATCAGCTGTGATATGTATGTGTACACACATGCCTACATATCATAGATTTTTTGGTAGGAAACTAATTTTGTAAATGAATATGTGTACAGTGCATTGAAAGAAAAATAAACAATGGCCATATATTGATAAATCAAATATGGTGACAGTGGACGGAACACACAGAATCTCGGTGTGGTCTCATCCTCAATCCAACTCCTTCCTCTTGCAGAGGAGACACTTGGGAAAAAGGGACTCAATGAACCGGTCCGGGGCACTCGGAACAGGAAGACCCAGGGGCCTTATGTGTGTCTTTCCTTTCTGCTGCGTATCATGTCCACTGTGGAATGATCCTCCTGAGGCAGCTACAGCCTGGGTCTCACAGGAGATGGGCAGTCCGGGTGGACACTGCCCGGACACGTGCCTGTAGTGAAGGGTGTGGGCGTGGTGAGTCAGCGCTGGAGAGGCGAGTGTGTTGGGTCTGAGTAACCCGCTGATAGTGACTAAGGAAGATTATCTCCTGGCCCAACACAGCTGGCCTCCCTCCCTACGTCCCTCCCCGCAGCTGCACGCATGTTAGGGCGGCGTCACTGAGTCTGCCGTGTGACTTCAGTCTCAGCTGGGCGACTGCCCTTTTCCCATCTGTGAAAAAAGGAAAAATAGTATTTCCCAGACCCCTTCCCGGGAACGCTCAGAGTTCTGAAAGGGCACACACGACTTCTCGAAACCACCTGGATGAGCTCTAAATGTCACAGCCAGCACGTGCCAGGCACACTCCCGTGCTGACTGGAGGGGACACAGATCTCTGAACCCATCAAATCAAGGACAGTCACTCACTCTGCTGTCCCATGTGCTCTGAGGCAGCGCCTGTCCTAAGCCCTTCAGACATGGGAATCCAATTACTTCTCACACCAACAACAGCCCTCGAAGGTAGGTATGGTTATGCTTTACCCATGAGTGAACCAAAGCACAGAGAAGTTAACTAACACACCCAGTCACGGAGCGAGACAACAGGCCAGCGGGCACCTGAGTCCAGGTCGTCTGAGGTCCAGGTCTGGCTGGTTGGTAGCATCTGATGAGACTTGGGTTGGGAGGAGGGGGCTTTGAGATGTTCCAGTTCAGTGGTCCCCAATCCTATCTACCCAGTAAAGTAACTTGGCTTTTTTTAAATGCCAATTCCCAGGCTCCACACAGACGAGTTAAGTCAGAACCTCTGGGGCAGGTGTGTATGTGTTAAAGCTCGGCAGGGTCAGGCAGCTGGGAGAGAGAACGTCTGCCCTTTTTGTCTCCCATGTGGTTTACACGCAAGAAAATGGAGCCCCAAGGTCAGCAACTTGCCCAAAGTCACAAAGCTAGTGCCAGACCTACAACTCGGGACTGTCACTCCGGCCATGATTCTCTGCCCTCAGAACTGCCACTTCTCAAGGAGCTAAGATTATACCGAGCAGTCACTGCGTTCTACAAGGTGCCCATGTGGCCCACAGAGGTTGCTTTGGGCTCCCGTCTCACAGCCGGTCCATTACAGGAAGAGAAAACCCCCCAGTGGGCAGGGGGTGGCTTGACCAGGCTTTCAGTCGGGTGTGTGTCTGCAGTGCTTGAAGCCTGAAGCACTTTCAGTATGGCCCTTTCAATATGCTTTCCTTTAAAAGAAAAATCAATGAGTGCTTCATACAAGTTTTTGTTTGAAAGAATTAGATTTCCAAAATTGCCATTGGCTTTCTTCTTTCAATGATTTAAAGGCATCGTTTGAGACGTGAACATGAACTCCTTGCATTTGTCGGAAATGGATGTCAGGACCGGCGTTCATCTGATTCCGGAAGGAGCCGGAACACGCACCGCCTCCTTCATCCCAGGCTCTCCGGGAACTTGGTGTGCTCCTGGAAGCCTCCTAGTCTCCCGCTCCAACAGCAGAGGCTGTAATGAGGTCTTCAGCTACTAAAACCTTCATAAAACACACAACACACTGCCAGCCACCACCAGCTGCTCCGGATCTTGATGAATAATTTAGAAACAAATTAGCCTTTTCCAAATGAGTCCAACAAAGTAAGACTCATTGCAAGGCACCCACTGCGCTCTCCTCTGCGAGGCAGCCGGGACTCCAGCTGCCGTGATTAAGGCTGCTCACTTCACTGGTCCTAGTCTAAGGGGGACTCAGCTGAATTCAACCCAGCTGGGGACCCGTGCCCTTCTCCCACAGAAGAAGAACTTTGTGGGCAAGCTAATCTCCCAAATCCATTTCCATGGGCTTCATCAATCAGACCTGCATTATCGCCTTGTTAAGGCATGTGTTTTAAACAGTTGATTTCATTCCATTTGGTGCTAATGGAACTTTTAAAAATCTTTCTATCCCCAGACCAGGCCACCCTCTATCATACTTAAATAGCTTAATGCAGGCTGGGTTGGCTCACTGGAGATTGGCAGGTTATAGGCTGGAACAGGGGAAAAGCCATGGGAGTTTGGAACATCTTCTTGGGCCAAGTGCTCAGAAACTAGCAGGAACATGTCCCGAGGACACCAGCCAGCTGGACGGAATTCCCAGTGGCAGAATATGGACCAATCCAGGCATCAGAATAAATAAGGGCAGGAGCAAGTTATAGCATATTAAATGAAAAGGGGTCCATACTAAAACTGTTTTTTAAAAAAAGAAGAAAAAGAGAAGGAGGTCTTCTCTTTATAGAAGAATGCCAGCTAATAAACATAGAAAAATGATGGAACCAGAAAAGCATTCCTATGACCATCAACCAATAATTGATTCAGGCAGTGACTTATTGAGGAAGGAAAAGCTAGTAAGTGAAGGAGTATTGAGACACAAGATATTCACATAGTAGTCATAGATTATGGATTAATTACAAGGGCCAAGGGTACCTTTACAATGAAGGAAGTCGGGGACTCACCTCAACCAAATGATCAGACTTGCTACCAATGGCAGAGAAAACCAGCATCATGTCCCTACGTGACCTTACCCCTGTCTTGGCAAAAATATTTAACCTAAATCTAGGTGTGGTGTAAAAACTCAGACAAATCCATATTGAAGGGCATCTTGCAAAAATGACTTTTTGAGAATGCTTACATCAGGAAAGACAGAAAAGCTGGGTGAACCTTTGGAAATCGAAAGAGACTGAGGAAGACCTACCAGCCAAGGGCAATGTCAGTCTCAGGCTGGCTATTGGTTTAGGGGAGAGGAGAGCCACAAAGGAAAACTGGGGAAATTCGAGTGTGGACCATATACTGTGTAAGAACAATCCTAAAACATCTATTTCAAAGAACCTATGCACCACAATGTTCATAGCAGCACAATTTACAATAGCCAAGAGTTGGAAGCAACCTAGGTGCCCGTCAGTAAATGAATGGATAAAAAAATTGTGGTACATATACACAATGGAATTCTATGCAGCAGAGAGAAAGAAGGAGCTACTACCCTTTGCAACAACATGGATGGAACTGGAAAGCATTATGCTGAGTGAAATAGGCCAGGTGTTGAAAGACAAATACCGTATGATCTCACCTTTAACAGGAAGCTAAACAACAAAATAAACAAGCAAGCAGAATAAAAATAAAGAAATAGAGAACAAGGGGACAGTGACCAGAGGAGAGAGAGAAGGGAATTTAAGGGGGAAAAGGGGAGGGATTTGGAAGAACAAATATGAAGGACACAGGGATGAGAACTAAGGGGGGTGGAAATGGGAGGGAGGTGGGGAGCACGGGGCAGGGGGACTGGGATGGGAGAAATAGACAAAAAACTGTACTTGAAAAATAACTAAATAAAAAAATTATGGAAAAAAGTGAAAAAAATAAAACAAAAGGTTAAGAATCAAAAAAAAAAAGAACAATACACATTAAATTCCCAGCTGCCCACTTCAACGGGGTTACGCAGAACGGCCTCATCCCTCTGAAGCACATGCTAAGGAATTTAGGGGTAGAGTCATGCTGTCTCCAGCTAACTCTCAAATGGTTCATTAAAAAACAAATAAAAGTTAAGAAAGAGAAGCATACATAACAAACTGTTAACATTTGCTCTATGTAGATAAAGGTAAATTGATATTCATTGCACTATTCTTGACGTTTTTCTGGGGTGTTTAAGTTTCAAAATAATAAGCTAGGAAAAAAGCAAGCTAGTTGAATTCTAGCTTCCTCTCTTTTTGTAGTCTTGCTGGGGAAGAAGCTAAATTCCTTTCAGTTCAATAAGCTAAAATAAGTTGACCTTGACCTAACATCATCAAAACACCAGTTTCTGTGTCCTTTGCCCTCAAAAGCCCTGAGGCGCACCAGAGTGAGGTCAAAGGTCTGGCGGCCCTGGGTTCCCAGTCCCCTGCACAGCACCCGCTGGAACCAGTGCTGTGGCACCCGCATGGGCGGGGCGCGCTCTCTGGTCCCCTGCGCTCCACCTTCGCCCTGACACATACTCACTCACGCTTTCATTTCTGTGGTCCGCCTGGTCCCTGGGGCACCTGAGTCGGAGGCAGACACAAGGGCCTGATGTTGGGGGTGCAGGGGGTGAGCTCGTGTGGGCCTTCACGAGGGATCGACCCTGCAGGGCAAGAAGCACAGAACCGCTCGGCGGACAACAGTCGGGCTCCGAACAGCTCTTCACAGGCTCACAGGGACCCCATCTGCTATGGGGTGGGCTGTGCCCCCAAATTCATGTGAGACTGCTGACTTCTAGCACTTCAGAATGTGGCCTTATGTGGGGAGGGAGTATGGAAGATGCAATTTAGACAAGGTGAGCAAGGTAAGGCTGGGCGTTGAATGGGCCCTGATCTGATATGACCAGTGTCCTCATAAAAACAAAAGGGACATCTGGGCACAGACAAGCACACAGGGGAAATGCCACCTGAAGGTGAAGACAGAGCTCAGGGTGATGCCTCAACAGGCCAAGGGACCCAAAAGGCCAGTGACCCCGAGAAACTGGGGGTGGGGAAGGGAGCAGGTGCTCCCTCACTGACCACAAAAGGAGCGGCCCTGCCGACATCTTGACTCCAGAGGTCCAGACCCTGGAGCTGTGACCTGGTCCCCTTCTCTCGTTGACCGCCCCCACTCATACTTGTTTTCGTCAGCCCCAGACACACCTCCGACCTCCTGGTGGCTGCTCCAAGTGCAGGGCAGAGTTGACAGGGGAGCAGATGCTGAAGACAGACTGGCAGGGTCACCGCCCACCATCTACAGCTCTAGGGACATGGGCAAGCCCCGAACAACACTGTGTCCCTGTCACCTCACCTTTACAACAGGAAGAGCAGCATCCACTCAGGGGGCTTCATTTAGTTAATATCTGAGACATTCAAAACAGGGTCCCTGCTCAGTAGGAGCTATGTAGTGCTGAGGATTATTATCATCATTGCTGTTATCATCGTCATCACCTTGCTGCAGCTGGAGCTTTGCTCGGAATTCGGAAAGTCCTTCAGGAAAGGAGTTTTCACATGGGGACAAGCCTTGGACTTGTCCAAGAGAGAAGCTCGTCCCGGCTTCCCAGCCCCTCAGCCCCAGCCCCTGTCTGACCTAACAAAGAACAGCACCTCTCTGGCCTCCCTCTCTCTGCTCTTGTGTGAAAGGAAGGTGTTCAGGTCCACCCCTAGCCTCCAAGCTCCACGTTTTCTCCCCGGTCCAGGCCAGCTCAGGCCCAGGCCAGCTCTGCGAGGCTGGCAAAGGTGTGTGGTTAGCGTTTTTCCTTCCAAAGACCCTACGGCAATTGCCTTTGGGATTAAACTTTAAATTTGTGATTTAGTCCTGTTAAAAATCTACATAGACGTGGTACTTTTAAAAAGACGGATTTGTTGGGTAAAAAATGAAACCTTATAATTTCACCAAGATTGGAAAGAATCTGAGAGCACCCATGTACCCTCCTAAAATATTATGAGAGCTTTCTCCATCTTGGCCCAGAAAGTGATGACCTCAGAACAATGAATGAAAGCTAGAGAAAAAAACATTGGATTCAAGTATTTATCTCTGAACTTGATGCTGTTTCATGCTACTAATTGTCAAGATTCTTAATGATTTTCACAAGTGAGAGAAAAGAGTGAAATGCCAGCAGGTGAGATTTTCAAATCGAGTGGCATTGCAGGGCCACTAGGCAGGCGCTGTAAGCAGTTTGTCTCCGTCACCATTCCCACCTGAAATCAAGATCGCTGGGCAATTTTCCTGGACACAGAGCTTAGGCAGCAGGACATATAAAAATAAGCATGCAATGATGATAGACTTTACAGAAAGCAAAAAGTCTTCACTCACCCGGGGGAACCACGGTAAGGTTTATTGTGAGAGAATCTCGGACCTGAAGCCCCTTCATTTTGGCCACACACGTCAACGTCCCGTTGCCCTGTGGCGTCAGAGCCAGGATGCTCAGTGCGCTTTGAGGGTCGTCCGGCTCCGGCACGGAGTGGTAGCTGGAGTGACTCACTGGGGCGCCAATCTCCCAGGAAAGGTCGGGGAGGGGGGTCCAGCCCACCGCACGGCAAGTCACATTACAAGGTTCATCCTCCGTGACTACGAGACTGTCTCTGGGGGTGACCAGCTCACCCACAACTGAAGAAGAAGAGAGAAAGATTCTGAAGGAACGACCTTGCCGCTCACTTCCAGGTCAGCTTTTATTTTCCTGCAATTCGCGACCTCCCCAGACCCGATTCGGCCGTGTCTGTAGCCGGAAACCCTCATTCAGGTGGCACCTGTGTCTTTATTCGTACTTCCCAGGCCCACAGAGAAAGGTGGATGGCTCACCTGAAAACATGCAATTCCAGAGAAATGAATACAAATCAGGGTCCAGGGGAATATGAATTATATGGGCAAGGGAGGGTCGCTGTGCCTGCCACGGGGGCTGCACAGCCCCTAAAGTTGCCCTGGGCTACCTGGGGGGCCCAAACAAAAAGGGTGGTAAATCAAAATCAAATCCAACAGAATTAAAGAAATCACCACCCTCAACCATGTATCAGAATATATTGCTCAAACTGTTGAAAAGTTGTCACCGAGGACAACTGGCACATGCCAGTGTTCACGCCATTTACAACCCACCTGAAAGTACCACTGGTACTACTGGTGTCACCAAAACCACCTGCGGGCCCCACTACAGACACAGCCCCCCGAGACACAGACACATGGCCACGTGCCAGCTGAACCCTTCAAAACTCCCCGCTGCATGGAATAATGGAAAGACCACTGGACTGAGAATCAGAACCTCCGCCCACGGCCCTGGCTTTCCCACAGAGTTGGCATCCTCTCGGGCAAGTCCCTGGGAATTTCAGGCTATTTTCTCCCGGGGAATGAGGTGATTGGACTAAACGAGTGGTTTTCGGTCCTCAGGTTTCCACGCCTCCTACATGCTCACGAATCACTGAGGACTCCAGAGGCCTTCCATTTATGTGGGTTACATCTATGGACACTCACCATGTTTGAAATTAGAATTACTTATTTTTAGATATTCAAAAAGAATGGTGATCCATTTCACATTAATGTAGATTCATATTTTTCTGAGAATACCCATATCTTAAACCAAAATTAATTAGTAAGAAGAGCAATATTGTTTTCTATTTATGCAAATCTCTTTCACCTCTGGCTGGATTCTCTGATCTCCTTCTGTATTCAATCTGTTGCCATATATTGCTTCATTTAAAGGTTATTTTTAGAAGTCTGACTTCACAGGGCCACAGAGCTGAGGGGGTGCGGAGCCTTTCACGGGCTCGTCAGAGAACCGCGGATGCCCTTTGATACTATACCAGCACTTGACAAGCAGTGGCTTCTTAAAGGCCAGTGTCCCTACAGAACTTGAAACCATATAAAGAGTGGTCATTGTCTGGTAGGTTACAACTCCATTGGTCTGTCTGGCCCTTTGAATGGTTCTTATTACTCTCACACATCAGTCCTTTGCACAGCACTGGTCCAATGAGTTACGTAGACCTCTCCAGGGTACGGTGGAAAACCCGTTTCACACGTGAGAACTGAGAGTGGGAATGGCAACTAAGGTCTTAGTACTGTCCTGAAAAGTGTCACGACCTCACAGATCCCCTTGACAGTGTCAGGGGGACACCTGGGAATTCTCAGCCTAGACTGAACTGGACCCCCACTGGGAGAGCTCTGCTCACCCAGAAATGTCAGCCCCTCCAATTACCCTTTGCCCAAAGAGTCTCTTGAAGGCAGCAAAGCACCTTCACCAATTCAAGGACTACAGTGTCCGCAACAGTAGGAGGGCACCCGATTTGTCCCTTAAGGCCAAAGAGTTTTGTCCTTGTTCTTTTGGGGGTTGCTCCTTGTTTGTTGGAGAGATTTAAGATGACAGAGACCCGGAGCAGTGCTATTGGCTCAGTTAACAACGGGAGAAATCAGCCCTCATCACACAAGAGGGTGAGAGGTTGGTGTGTAGCTAATTGGTGGACTGGGCGCCTGCTGCAATCTGAATGGGGCGTTTTCTTTTCTGTGTGTATTGGTGATTTAGCTTTTCCCATTGGCTTTCCGGAAGGCCAGCCCAGAGAATGGCACGTTATATAAGGTAGTAGCTACATTTTACATAGAGTTTTTGGGTGACTCACCATGGAACTATTCAAGTTCTCTTTATTTTTCCTGTTGATACATGAAGAGAACAAAGTGATCTTTGGACAATTCGCTTTCAAGATATATTAGATATTTTCTCTTTTTTCAAGATTCTTCTCCCATGAGGGAGATGCTGTTGCTCAGAGAACATTTGTTCCTCTGAGAACAAAGTGACATTCGGACCAGTGGAACCAGGGTAAAATGACCGAGTTCTGTCCTGTTCTGCAGGGTCCTTCCTCAGGACCTTGGCTGGGGACGATTTTACCTTCCCAAGGGGCTTGCTCTTCTATTTCTTTTAAAACCAAAAGCTACATTAGTCATTAGCATATAAAAATACATGTCTGAAGACACGTTATGGATTTGCAGCTTTGGGAAGAGATGCTATAAAACCACATGGATTTACCACATGGATTTACGATTTGACACCATAAACAGTGATCACAAGCCATGCTTGGCCGTGGATCCTCAATGCAGGAGGGTTCTCTCCCACCTCACCTCCTGCTGTTGCCTCTCATCTGCAGACCTTTGAGGCACATCTCAAGGGGCAACTTCTCTTTGGAGTCATCCCTGGAGACTGCCAATTGTCTCACCGCCCTCCCCAACTTGAACCTGAGCTGTCTCTCCACCCGCGCAGCCTCTGGGTGCACCCTGTTACTCCTGTACTGGCACGAGCCGCTCTTCTCGTGCAGTTCCAGAGGCAGGACCGTGTCCTGTGCTGCTGCTCTCTGAGGCCCCCACGAAGGCCTAACACAGTGTGTGCTCCTACCGAGGATGCAGTAATAGCGGACGGCTGTCTGGAGATCGCAATGGGCCGGGTGCTGTTCTAAAGACTGTCTGAGACCTGCTCATCTGATCACAGTGCAGCCCTGTAAGGAGGAAACTGGGTCCTGAGCTGACATGTCCACAGTCGCAGAGTCGGTCAGTAACAAAGCTGGGACTTGAACCCAGCACTCGGGCCCCTGAGAGCTGTTAACCACTTCAACCATCCTCCACCACTTCATCATTTGATCCTCACAGTGCACCTGTGCAGCAGAGAGAGGAGTCTTGACCCAATTTTAAGGACAAAGAAATTGAACTGATTCAGGAGTCACCAAGGTGTGTACCTGATGAACGCACAACCAGAACTCATATCTTTGATTCATTTTCCAGTGTTCTTTCCCTTATACCACAAATTATTACAGTAAGAATCTGGTCATGCAGGCAAGGCCAGTAATCCAGGTAGGCTCACAAAATCACTTAACATCACAAAATGTCATTAGGCCCCTAATTAAACCACACAAAGGCACATAACGTAAAGATGCAATGATTTGTCTAAATTTAAAAAATGCAAGTAGAACTAGGTAGACATGTGTCTGCACCAAATGTTATCCAGTTTGATCTGATCGCATGAATGCAGACCAAACCTGTGGAAATTCCACCTAGACAAGCAAATAAATGAACGTGAAAAAAACTTCAGAGACACAATGTGGTCTGTTCTAAAAGACGCCACGGCAGGAAGACAACTCCAGTGCATCTAGAAATAGTATATAATTGCACTGTTAAGGAATGCAAAGTGGTTAAACTTTAATAATAAAAGTGTTCTGAATCCTTGTAAATCATCCCTTTATTTTTTCATGATGTAACGTGATCTTCAGAGCCTAAAACTTAGCTTTGAAAAAAGAAAAGTGAGTTACCCACTTTATAAATTTTGTTTACTCTTGTCTCTAAAACCCTCGACACCTTTCTCTGTAAGAACCACTGGGGTAGGGAAAAGTAGTAAACTGGGGAGATGAAGCTGAAAAATGAAAAAGTTACAGCACAATTCAAAGTTGATAAAGATGTCAAAGTGATGTAAAAATCAAAAATGATGTAAGGCAAAGAAATCGAGCCAAGCGTATGAAGAGCTGGGCACAGGGCGGTGACTGTCAGCTCTCTCTAAATCATGGACACGTGATGACGACTGGCCCCAGAAGTCCCCCAGGATGTATTTCCAGAAAAGCCATTAGGTACTGAGATGGACGAGATGGGAAGTCACAGAAACCTGCCTTTCAGAGTCTTAATCACAGACACAGATAAAAAGATGGAAGGAGAGAGGGAGAGGAGCAGAAAGAAGCAGAAAGAGTGTCAGTGATGAAGGTGGGAGAGAAATACACAAACAACAAAACCACAAACACTTGTCGATTCAGAATAATCCTAAGTGTGACACCAGCTGAAGGTGTGCCAGACGTCACTACAAAGGACATGAACCTCGGAAGGTTCCTTCCATTCCTCTGACATTTAACCCAAGGGGCTCCAAGCGCCGCCCTTGGCCATTCCTGCGTGCGTACCTTGGACGGAAAGGAAAGCGGACCCCTCGCTGTCACTGTTCTGGAGGCTGCATTTGACGCGTCCAGCATCGCTGAATTTCACGTCATGGATTATCATCTCCGAGATGAAGTTATCGCCCTCCTCATAACTCGCAGAGGTGAAGCGGTCACTGGTGATGATGGGCTCCTTGGGTGTGACGCTCAGGACCACGGTGCCATTCAGAGCCCACATGATGAGCCGCCAGCCCTGCGAGACGGTGCAGTTGAAGTGGGCCTCCCCACCCACCAGCACCGTGGTGTTCCGGGGTCCTTCTATGATTTGGTTGCTGGATCCAGAAGCTGAAACACAACCCATTTTTCAAGTAAATGAATGAATCTGTAGAGATCCACTGTGAGATGTAACCCTTCTGCATACAAGTTGGGGTCCCTGAGTGACCACCCTGTGGCCCAGGCTCCATGTCTTACTGATCCCAACCCCAGGTCTCCCCAGAAGATCAGGAGTTTCCAGGGGATGGAAAGCCACTCTGTCCCTTCGTTGCACATCCCTCCCCTTCCTACACAGCACTTAGCGTCCCAGCATCCCAGCGTCTCAGCTGGATTGGCAGTGAGGAGGCATTGCTCCTCCTCCCCTTCCTGCAGGATGTCCCCTTAAGTATCTGACCCCAGCTTGGCCCAAAGAGCCACCACTGGCCCAGCTCTGTCACATTAGGGGAGTTTTTTGGCCTTGATCTGAAAAAAGCATTTTTCCTCCTGGTGAAATAAGAAAGACCTTCTTCTGGGGCTGGGAGGGGATAATGGAGCACCTTGTCTTTACAAAGAGGATGGAGACGCCTGCAAGCTGTGACCATGGCCCGTGCATGCCCCCTGCACCCTGAGAGCCCCCACGCGGGAAGCTTAAGACAGTGTCTGTGGCTGGAGGATGGGAGGAACACAGCCAAAGAGAGGCAAGGGCTGGGTCCTGCGTGTGTGGACCTGGAGCTGTGGAAAAGTCAGTTCTGAAGTAGCCAGAAGACGGTACTGTCACTGGGGCCACGCCCCTCCTCCTGAAGACCAGAGACAGAGAAAAGGGTGAGGGGTAGAAATATGGGGGAAGCTAGAGCCCTTTGTGAGATGCTCAAGGGATGGATGCGCCTGGGCAGACCCTGAGTAGGTCTCACCACGCCCAGTGTTTGGATGAAAACTCAATGCTCTGCAGGGTTGTCCAACCTTTCGGCATCTCTGGGCCACACTGGAGAGCTGTCTCGGGCCACACGATAAACATGCAAACACTGACAAACACAAAATATCTCACAGTGTTTTAAGTAAAGTAACAATTTTGTGTTGGGCCACATTCATAGCCATCCTGGGCCACAGGTCGGACACCCCTGCTGGAGTGTAGGACCACAGACCCCAGAGCAATGGTCCTGGCTCACCAGACACGTTCTCTCCACTCCTCCAAGCCCCACTCCCCACGGCTTCAAAACAGGGACACTAGTCCTACAGTGACTTGTTCCAAGAACCCAAGGGGACGGTCTATGGGAAGCTATCAGGTGACCCCCAGAAACTCAGTGAAAACTCACTACTACATGACCTGCAAGGGAGGATCGCACTGACCTACAAGATGAGCCAAGGAAATCATATAGTAACATTGTTCCCATTCCCCTTTCCACAACATTCTGCCCTTCGCTCACCAGGTGCCCTCTGACTCCGGTTTTAACTGAGGTGACAGTTCTGACTGGTCTCCCCATAGAGCACATCCGGGGCTCTCCAGCTCACGTGAACTCCATCATGATCTCTTAACATGGAGCGTGTTCTGCACATGAAGAACAACTCAAGCAATCTTTGGCTCACTTAGCACCGATTTTCTCATTACTCTACAAGAGCGAATTGGCAGCCAGAGTTTTCCTAGACTTTCCCACATTGGGAATAATAATCCAAAGGATGGCAATGATAGTCTTCAAGGTCGCTATTTCCATCTTTCACCGCCTGTGTTTTCATGCTGAGAAAATGAAGACCAGCAACATCCCAGGACCTGTGAGCACAGCGGTGCTGCTTGGACCTTCCCGCTCTGAATTCCCCCTCCTTTCCACCCCTTCCCCTCTGATCTCACTCAGGGTTTGTAGCAAAAAAAAAAAAAAGTTCTGGCTGACCACGCACCTGCCACATTGTACAGCTGTGTGAGCCCCGCAGGTGCACCAGGCAGCCCGCTGTATACATCAAGTGTCCCCAATAACTGCAGCAGCCCCCTTTCCTTCCAACCTTATCAGGTCCAGTGGTGAAGCAGATTCTAAAAGAATTTCATTACAGCCCTAAGGTTTTCTAGGAAAAAAGCACACAGCTGGACATGCAGTAACGCTTTGGTGGAGTACCCAGAATGCACTGTGGGAATATGTCGCAGGAACAGGTAATGGCAGAGAATGAACCACTGTGCAGACAGGGTCCAAGGCCAGCAGGACAGGGCGGGGAGGCCGCCAGGGACAAGGAGGGGCCACCAGCTCCGAAAAGGCAAAACTGAGGGACAGCCGGATGTAACTGAGGCTGCTGCTGCGCTGGGTAAACATGTTGATTATTCCCCAGTCTTTGCTTCGCCTCTGCGCACGATGGAAAAAACATAAATGTAACTTAAACAACAACTCCGATTGTCCAAGCAAGTCGCTCAGGTCTGGGATCCCTTTGATCTGGGAGTTTATAAAAGGAAAAAGCCAGAGGAAGGGAAGTCAGAAATGGTTCCCCAGGGAAGCCACTGCGGTGCCAACCAGGCTCTTTCCACGAGCCCTGAACTGCACCTTCAGAAGGACAAAAGGAAAGAAACAGCCAAGTCTACACCCAGGGGAAGATAGACGCTCTCATGCTCTACACCATGACAGCAACGGTCTTCCCGCTCCTGACGCAGGCTGGTGGGAGTTTCCTGGACAGAACCACAGGCCGGGTGCAGAGACAGGTGAGACCCAGGCTAGCAACTGCAGCAGAAGAAGCAACAAATAACAATCTGAGACCACGGTCTCTTACCTGCTTGGTGCAAAGTACATTACGTAGATTATTTGAGTCCAGGCGCTGTTCACGCCACACCTGTCTTCAAATCCCCTGCGGACTGCTTGCTCGACCAAGAAAACACAAAGGCCGCATACCTTACTTTGCAGCTACAGCAGTGAGAGGGAGGGAGGGAGGGAGGGACCCATACCAGATGGAAACCCTGAGTTTGCACTTGACCTTTAAGTTAAACAGGAGGCACCAAACCCTAAGCACTGCATGGCCCTGACAATGCAGCCTTCCCTCCCACCATTGGAGGACGCACCCCCCCTCCCTGGCTCCTCCTCATGACTCAGAAGCTGCCTTTCTGGAAAAGTGTGGCTCTGTGGTCTCATTCCTCTCTCTTCTATCCTATCAGCTGGTTCTGTGCGCAGCCCTGCCCCACCCAGAACAAATATGAGAAAATTGTAGATAAGACCTTCAATCACAGTCACCAAGCTCAACACAAAGCCTCCCTTTCCCCTTTGCTCTCCCTTGCACTTTGTAGAGCAAAGAGGCAAATGAGGGGCAGAGCCATGGGAAAGGTCCACGGCCCCTCCCAGGAACCTCCCGTGGCTACCGGCCACAGTGGTCACCCAGCACCAGGTCCCCCCTGGGAGGGGCTTATCTGCTTGCAAGATACTCCCTCATGCTGACACTCTCCATTTCCCAGCCGCACACCTCCAGTCTGCCCTCCCGCTTTCTCTCTTGCCCCACAATCCCACTGCACGGGGCATCTTGGTGTAGGGGCGGGGCTGCCCCCCAGGGTTGGAAAGCACCTCTTCTCCTGCTCGCTGCATCCTTCCATCAGCAGAGTGAAGCCACTGCAGCAGGTTCGCAGTGTCCGTGGCTCCCACAGGCCCACCAGCAGCTGATCCTGAACCTAAGTCCCGCTCATTGGCAACGGCTTTTGCTCGGGGCCCCAGGAGAGCAGCCAGCTGCCACCCTGGCTGGGGGGTGTGAACCCCCCTATTCCTCCACTCCCCTCTTCTCCAGCTCCTCTCACTACACCTGAAGACCCCTGCCATCTCCCATCTCTTACTGAACGGGAGAAACGAATAGAAAAGCAGGTGGTTACAAGTCAGAGGGCAGAAGGGGAAGCAACATGGAGGGAAGAAGGGACCTGCTCTGTGAAGACAGCCCTGGAGGACTAGGCGGAAGTCCCCACGCCTCCGGGGTCGGGACCAGCAGAAGGAAACCGAGGAGTGAGGGAGGGGGTCCTGAGGTGGCTCTGAGCTCCTTGCCGAGTCCTGCTGATGATGGCAGGGGGTGCCGGCATCATTGCTGTGCCACCACCGTCACCCAAATCTGCTCTCCATGTGGCGGTGAGAGGGGCCTTCTGAACACAGCAGTGCAGTCAGGACCCCCGCTCATGCCCCACTTCCACACCCAAGACTTTGTTTAAATGTTTCCATCATTTAGGGCAAAGACCAGATAACCCTTAACATCACCACAGGCTAAGACCCTGCTGAGCCTCACATCAACTTCCTTTTGCCCCAAACCCCGCCCTCTTCCTCACCAGCCCCAGGGCCTTGGCACGGCAGTGGCCAGCCTGGCGTGACAGCCTCGCTCCTCAGCTCCCAGCCGGGAGGTTGTCCCATCCTCGGGCAGCCGTCCCAGACCACCTGATTTAGGTTAGATTACCTATAACAGGCTTTCAGATTAGTGAAGCAATTATCATGGGGTGATTTTATACTGACTTTTCTATCAATTAACGCCTGCTTCCCCTGCAGCTCTAAACTCCTTGCTGGCAGGAACTAAGCCAGCTCCTGCTCATCACTGCATCCCAGTGCCTGCAACCTCAAGGTGCACACAGGTCCTCAGTGTATATGCACTGAGTGAGTAACGGGGCAGTCCAGCTCCACATGAGCCATTACACTGGGGACCAGGTGGAGAGGAGAGGGCTGGCGGAGCGCACTGGGCCCCCCCGGGGGTAGCCCTCTGCTGCTCAAGGCCGAGTCTGCAGGCAAAGGCGTCTCTACCCCAAGAAGCACCTGAGGGGCTCAGTCTTCCGCTACAGGGGCCGTCCCCCAGGGGCTCTCCAATCAGCCCACAGTCCTCTCTCTCCTAGACTCCGTCAAAGCCACCCCTGCCTCTGACCCAGAGCTTCAGGGGAAAGTCTGTGAACACTGCAGACCCACAGTTCCTCAGGTGCCCACTGAGCTTCTAGAAGAGATCTCTTTGCCACTGTGGCCCTAACAGCCTCGTTGGAGCCATGCCCCTAAACCCGTGCTGAGCCTGGTTTGCGAGCCACACAAGTCCCCAAGCTCTGCACAGCAGGGGCGGTGTCCTGCCCTCCTTCCCTCCACTCCGCAGACAAACGTCACCCAGCACCTTGGTGTCTACAAACACCTGACACCGTGCACTATCAGGCAAAGGCTTTGGATCATCTCTGCTCCCAAATACACGTTAACACCGGAGCCTGGTGCCCACAGACGTCATGTGTAGGTAACCCAAATCGAAATGGATAAAACAGTCCTCAATGCGTCTAACGCCCCCTGATGGTCCCTACTCTAGTTCTAGTTCACTCTGTTTTATTTTTTTGGTGCTGTCATGGCCAGAGTTTTAAAAAACATCATGTATCCCTGGCTGGTGTAGTTCAGTGGACTAAGTGCCAGCCTGCGAACCAAAGGGTGGCTGGTTCGATCCCCAGTCGGGGCACATGTCTGAGTTGTGGGCCAGGTCTCAGTGGGGAACACAGGAACACAGGAAATGTTTCTCTCCCTCTCTTTCTCCCTCGCTTCCCATCTCTCTAACCATAAATGAATAAAATACTTTTTTTAAAAAAGCATTATGTGGCCATCAGAAATAGAGTTCTATGTGTATAAGGTACAAGACCAGCAGAACATATGCCCACAGTTAGAAGTCGGACTAATGGTCCCTCTGGGGAGGCGAGAGGGCAGGGAGGAAGCACCCACAGTGCGCTCTTGCTCTCACTGGTGATACGTGAAGGTGTTCGGCCTGTGGGAGCTCACCCAGCTCTGCCTCCGTGACTGTGCACTGGTCTGTCTGTAGCTTTTTCTTCACTACAAGGCCTCAAAACCACTGCAGTGGGGAGCTCGGGACAACCACCCTGAGGGGGTTAAAATCTAGCCAGGAAACAAGACAGACAGACATGCATGAAGCCATGAAAAGTAGGCAAAATGGAGTCAAAACAGAGCCCGGGCCACAAACTCCAGCCACCTCAGGGACCCCAGGGACCCCAGGTCCACACACTGCCTCTCTGCACAGCACTCTGATTGGGGGGACCCCGGCCAGGGACACCCTGGAGGCCATTCCAGACAACACCCTAGGAGAGGTCCAGAACAAGGAGGCACTGTTGACAACCCTCCCGCCACCACCCTGTCAGTATGGAAGCTGGGATTATCGCCCTGAAAACTGCAAGACCAGGAAGGCTTCATGGAGGAGGCGACAACTGAGTCGCCCTTCCTCAAAAACCAGGCAGAAAGAGCAGAGGGACAAGAGCAAGGCCTGTGGGGAGGCACCGAAAGCCAATGCCCAGGAGACTCGAACCCCAAAGAAGAGAAGTGGTGGGGTCCGCGGCACCCGAAGGACCACTCCTGGAGCCGAGTCAGTGAGGCAGGAAGGGGACCCCACTGAACAGGCCCTGCTGTGAGGAGGGGACGCAATGGCAAGTGCCTAAGGAACAACCTTCTGGCAGCCCTGTGCACCAGCAGCTGCCCCTGGGTTCCCTCCCGCCCACTCCGGGTGGAAGCCCTGGACTGTGCCCCCAGGCTCCCGCGACCCTACCTGGTAGGCGAGCCACGATGACCAGCGCGGCCAGGACACCTCGCCAGCTGCCGTCCATCTCCGCATGTTCGTCCGCACCCTGGGAAAACAAAGCAGGCAAGTGGCCATCTCTCACTGATGAGCGTTTACCGCACCGAGCTCTGCGGGGCCCTGACCAGCCCCTGTGTGACCGAGCACAGCTGAGTCAGGGCTGCTCAGCGTGGTCAGTGGCACTGGCCTCACCTGGGGACTTGTTAGAAAACCGGATGCTTGCACCCAGAGGACCAGAGACTCTGGAGGTGAGCCCGGCAACCTGTCTATACCAGGTACAACTCTGGCATGTGCTCAAGTGCGAGAATCACTGTATCACATGATCCCCCCCAAGCCCATGTATAAGTTATGGGAGCCCATGGTGCACCAGTACCGCTGAATTCCTGACCACGGCAGAGCCGCCGGGGCTCCCAGCTCCTCACTGCAATCCCAACGCCTTAGTCACTGAGAAGAGAAAACCCGGCGCATGGCAGCTGCACAGGACCAAGAGCGACCGCAGGCAACAAACTGAAGAAGTGGGTCACAAGGCTACTAGAAGGTGGCAAGAAGCGTGAGAAAAACAGGGGGATGAGTGTGAGGGGTGTGTGTGGGCAGGGGCTGGTTACCTCCTCAAGTGGGGAGGCCAGAGGAAGGCTCCCAGGAGGTGTCCTCTGAACGGTGAAGGAGGGGAGGTGACATAACGTGGACACCTGGACAGAAGAGCTGCCCAGGCAGAGAAGCAGCAGGTGCAAAGGCCCTGGGGCGGCATGTCAATGGGCACATTTATGGAATTGCAGCAAGGGCTCTGGGGCTGGGGCAGAGGGAGGGGTGAGTGGAAGCAGGAGAAGTCGGAGGTCAAGGGTAGGCAGAGTGAGGTCTTATCAGCCCCCAGCAGCACGCCAGGGTCCTGTCCTGTACACCTACCTCTCAGCCCCCCCTTTCAACCCCTTTGCTCTTTGGCGCCCTCTAGCTCATGCTCCGACCCTGGGTCTTTTCTCTTTATTGTTCCCTTCTCCGAAGACAGGCCTATCCAAGGCAGTCGCCACGCTGCTTGGTCTCACTGAAACGTTTAGGGCAAAATCACCCACCGAACGTATCATGAACTATCTACAAAAAAGAAAAAAACTTCTTCCTAACCTCAGGAAATGGTCTCTGTTTGAAATGTTCTTCAACCACCGCCATGTGGTCCCTGGTAACCAAGGTGGCTTCGCCTTCATCTCTGGCATCACCCAGGTGGCACAGCTGTGCTGGGGAGCCACACGTCCCCCCAGAACATGGGGTGCAGGGTTCCATCAGAGCCCCGTGGCAGGATTTTTGCACAGAGCCCCATCCAGGGCTCCGGTTCCCTACAGGCCAAAGGGGACAAACCCATGGGCAGAAGCACAAGACCTGAACTGGGCACCAGAAAATACCTGCCTCACGGAAGTGTGCGGAACTCACCTCCCGCAAGGTGCAGAGTGGAACAGAGTGGCAGCGTGACGGGGCACAATGATGCTCAGGCCCGGAGAACCCGTCGCCTGCCAGCGTGTGACTGGGTAGTCACGGCCCATGAGGAGGACCCTAGGTTCCCCACTGCTCAGTTTTCTGATGTCTCTGGAAGGCAGAAGTCAGTGTGCATCTGCAAAACCCTAACTGCTCATGTCCAAGGGCAAGGGTCAGAGTGTGCGGACCACCACCCTGCTGCGGAGCCCCGCCCCTCGCTGTACGCTGAACTAGACTCAGCAGCAGGGAGCACAGCAGCTGCCACGGCCGAACTGAAGTCACCGCATTCCGAGACTCGTGCGAGATCCCCAATCAAATCATTCACCAAGTTTCAAGGCTCAGTGAACACAATTCAGCTCGTCAATCACCACCGATCGGCCAGAATGCTAGACCCCGACAGAGGGAGAGAGAGAAACTGAGCCATGGAGTTGGATTTCACCGAAAGCAGTAAATGAGCAGAGTGAACCCAACACTGCAGAAACCTGGGCAACAGCTAAAGGTCACGAGGAAACACTTGGAGTCACTGATAAGCAACGTGAGTCAGGACGCAGACTAACAACAGATGACAACTTGTTAAATGCTTCCTTTGCCACCATCCGCACACACCGCTCTCGCCTGTTCTTTGTGGAAGACTCCACTTCTATCCACCCAGCAGAAGCCAGGGCCAGTGGGGCAGTGCCGGTGGGGTAGGGTCGGGCCGGAGCTAGGGACGTGGGTCTGCCAGGGGCTGGGATCCAAAGGGCGTGTGTGGAAGGAACTATCTGTCATAAAGCTGATTCCAAGTTTGAGCTGAGGTCAGACAGGCCACTTTGATGACAGGGGGACCTGTGCCAGGTCATTTGCAAGTTTCTGTCTCTGTGGCATAGTTTGGTGGGTCCCTGAATCGTTCATTTCAATGTGGGCAGACTTGATTTGCCAAGTTTTAATTGAAAAACCCCTGTCTCCTTTTTAAAACCTTAAATCTTATTAAATTGTATTATATTAAATAGGTAGGATTTAACCCTCAACCAATTCCTTAATGCCCCGAGAACACCAAAACACACAGGTGGTCTGGACCCACCAAGCTAGTCATTCATCTCAGGAAGAAAACCACCCAATTTGATCATCTCGCTTGATGACCCCAGGCACAAACGCTCATTTCTGGGTTCTCGGAAACAGCTTGAAATCAGGAACCTCAAGCCCAAAGAGAAAGAAGTGCTTTGTACAGTGTGTGAGAACTGACCGGCTTGCTGCAAACCGCCCCTACTCTCAGCACCCAGCTCCATGCGCGCTCCACTGGGAGGGGCGCAGGCACCGCCTGCCAGACTCGGGGCAGCCTTAGAACTTCCAGAAACCTCAGAGGGGGTCTCCTCGGCACAGGCCTTCTCGTGGGGCACTCGGTCAAACGCCCTTAAAAGGTTGTCTGACAAACAACGTGAGTCACGGTAATTTTCTAGCATTTGCCCCCTGACCTCCCAAATTCCAGCCCAGGCTCGGCTTTCAACGCATCCCCAAGAACAGCTCACTGTGAAAGGGACACTCGCCCGATCAGAAATCGTCTCAGATTCCCACTCGGTCAGAGACACCGCTCTTTTAATTTTTAACTTCGGACAAGTTGGGAATCAGAATGCGTGGTGATCCTCCGACACTTTCCCCGGGAGGCTGGCGGGAGCACCTGCTCCCTGGAGGAGACCCGGGAGCTGTGGGGACATCCCCTGCGGGCCTGGGCCAACACCTGTCCCCAAGCTGTCTTACCTCCGCAGGTAGGTCTTCTCTTCGGGGCTTCAGGGAAGGTTCTCAGTTTCCAGAGGCTTTTTGGCCTCTGTCCTCACTCCACACAAACACAGGAATAAATTCAATCCGGCCACCAGAGAATCCTGACCCGACCTCAGCAATTAACAGGAAGTCCCTAATGAAACAGTCTGTCACGTCATAGGCCAGGCTCTAAACACAGAGGTGGCCTCTGCCAGCCACAGGCGCTGGCTCCCTGGAGGTGGCTGCTGCCCCGCATATTTCCTGTTAATCATTAGCCAGCCCGAACAGCAGCCCAGGAAGTCCGGCCGGGGCCTGGGAATGCCAAGGCCGCGGGGCCAGGACCGACCTCCAGCTCAGCCTCCAGTCCCCGTCCCTCCTCCGGGCCCGGGCCCAGCCCTCGTCTCCCAGCGGCTGGACGCTGGCAGGCCTGCCCAGCCCTACTCCCTCTGGCCTCTGGCACAGGCCCAGGGGCTGGTGAAGCCGGTTCCTTCCCCCTGCCAGGCACTTCCACGTCCGCAAGAACAGGTTCTTTGTGAAAGAAGAAAAGAGAGTCCTTGGGGTGCAGCGCTCTGGAACGTGGCCACCTTGAGGGGTGAATCAGAGTTTCCTGGGGAGTGTTTGCACAGGACCGTGAAGGGGTTTTCCGTGCCCCCCGCCCCATGCCCCACTCCCAGCCCCCCAGCAGTAAACAAAGGAACTTGGCTTTTCTGAGGACTTTGACAATTTCGGGGGGGAAACCCATCGCCCAAAATCCTGATGTGCAGCCCTGTGTTGAACAGTGCTCTCTCTCTTTTTTGTTTTTTTGAACTGTTCTCTTACATGGTTCTGTTTTCAGTATCTGGCTTGTCTCCCCCATTACATTGTAATCCTGCCAGGAGACTCAGGACCAAGGGCATCTGTGGAGAATAGACACCAACAGAAATAAGCATCATATATTCAGAGTAAGACCCTAAAGTAAATCAACGGGGGGATGCCCTCCTTCCCGTCAGAGGGCATCAGAACACGTCACTCCAGGAGAGTCACTTTGGCATAGTTGAAGCTGAAGACATCTGAGACTCAACAAATGAAAAGAAAAAAAATCTGAGCTTCCCTTTTGTGACTTACAGCAGCAATTTGGGGAATTAAGACAAGCCACTAACCCTTCTCCGTGGTGGACGCACCCCCAGAAGGAAAACACAAACAACAACTACTGCAAAGCCCTTCTCCAGGGACTTTATGATCCTGCAGGTAGAAAGACCACTCATACCTATGTACGAGGGGGGCTCCAAAACAACCCAGAAGTATCTTCTGGAGGATGGGCCCCTTGTAGGACAGGCTTCCCCTGCCAGGTGTGTGTTCTAAGAACCCATCTGGGCCAGTGCACCAGCTGGTGTTGTTGTGAGAGGCTGCGTTCAGCTTCAGTGAATTTTTTTTTGAAGACTCAACGCATTCGCCCATTTCATAATGGATGATTTACAAGGGTATCCGCCCACGCTGTGCTGAGTGTTCAGCAGTTTTTGACCCAAAACGGCATGATCCCTCAGCTCCAACCACCTAATCACCTGATCTCACCCTGAGAGACTTTTTTTTTTTTGGTTTTCCCAGATGAAAAAAAGTCCTCAAAGGAAAACATTTTGGCAATGTGGAAGAGATGAAACAAAAAACAGTAGAAGCACAAAGCATCAACATTAATGAGTTCAAAATCTGTTCTGAGCGGTGGAAAAATACATCTTGATAGGTGTATTGCATCAAATGGAAAGTACTTTGAAGGTGGCTGAAGTTTAAACATGTAAGAATAAATACACAACTTCTTATAAATAAATTCTTATTTGGGGGGACACCCCTTATGTAGACAAGCATTCCACTAACTTCCTTATGTCCTGCCCATTCTCCTACACATCTATTCATCTTTCTTAAAGAAACCTATTTGTTTATCATATAAAAAGCCTGTTCTCCCCCTTTTCTTTACCATACTAAATTAGCTAGGTAAACCGTTAACTGCTTAAGGAGCCAGTTACTTCTTTTGTTGGCTCCTGTATGTATGCAAAATAAAGCTTCTTCTCCTGTCAACCTGACCTTCAGCAGTTTAACTCACAGGCCCCAGCCACTGACCTTAAAAGGGTAGAGGAAAAGATTGTTTTTTCCTTCCCTACAAAGCCCTATGCTGGGAACTGATCAGAAAAACCGTGAGCAAAACCGACACTCAGGGAGTTGATGTATCAGACCCATAGTCTTATGAACCCACACAGGGTCATAGCAGCTTACTCATGGGTCCCTAAAGGCCTTGAGTCATTCAAAACGCAAATAACTCTGGAATAATGAGCTACAAGCATGAAAATCCAAGGCCAGTATCATTTGTTTCTGCTCTGCTGTGCTTTTTTTATTTTCTCAGCTTCAGTCCTCAGATTCAGACCATCGTCAGCCCTGGGAGACATGGGGGCTGCCCTGCAGGGTCCCGTGTCACAGCTGATTTGCCCCCGAGATTCCCCGCCCCTGTCCTCACCTCAGCACTGCAACCAAAGTGTGTGTTAGAGCTTCCAGAAGTTTTCGTTGTATAACAACGAGTGCCTTAGGGAGAAAAAAAAATTATTCCTCTACTCTCCTCAGTTTTGTGTCTTGCACCCTGAACGTTAAACTGACAAAAGACAAAGATTAACAAGAGTTCACGAACAGGCGCAGCAATCACTTCCACAAGAGGGAGTCAGTGAGGAGTAACTCCAAGGGGTGGTTAGAACTCGGGCTTAAATAGTCAGTATCTTAAGACAATACTTCTGTAAAGAAGTGACAAGATGAAGGAAAAGAAGTTTGGGCTTTGAGGGTTTGGGGTGGCAAACTGTGGGACAGTGAATAGAGGGGGGACTGATGGGAGAGGCGGCGGTTTTGGAAAGGTCTGTCGTGTGGGTGCTGCCTGAGTCTCCAGTGATTAAGTTCCTTCCACCCTTCCCAGGACAAAAGAGGGGAAGGCAGCGAGTCTGTTTGGTGTCTGCTGTTCCTCGATTGTCCTCAGCTTCAAATAAACCTCACGCCAAAGGGGCTGTTTTGGAGGAGGGCACACGCTGACCTCCTACCAGTGGCCTGACAACCATATACACAGAGTGATGATAACCACTCACAGAAGTTCTGTAGCAAGTACAGGGTGTCCCTTCCCCGCCCCCCCCAACCAATGCTGGGTCTGGGGGACAGATGTCCACCACTTCCTGAGATGCCACCCCAGGGCAACAGTGGAAATGCTATTTATAAATCATAGGAAATGCAGCTCCAAAACTGTGCCTTCCTGAGGGATTTTTTTTTTCTCATTTGGGAGATGTGCATTTTTTTTTCTCATTTGGGAGATGTGCATTTTTTTTTCTCATTTGGGAGATGTGCATTTTTTTTTCTCATTTGGGAGATGTGCATTTTTTTTTCTCATTTGGGAGATGTGCATTTTTTTTTTCTCATTTGGGAGATGTGCATTATTTCAAAGTTTGAGCCTAAAGAGAGATTTGACTAATATTTTTAGCCTAAGCTATTTTAAAATCACAAAGTTCAAGTTGAAATGAAACATAGTCACACTGTAGTTCAGGTTGTGGTAAAGGCTCTGCGGGAAGCTGTGAGGGGGGGGGCAGGGGGAGTGGGGACAGATCCCCTGAGGAAACTGGGTTTGAGCTGGGATGGGGGATGGGCATGTCGGGAGTGAGTGAGTAGGAGGTGGAGCAAGGGAGGATCGTGTCCTGGGGCAGAGGGACGAATGCGCATGGAGGCCGCCCCTGGCATCTCTGGTGGCAGGAGCCTGGTGCACCTGAGGAGGTTGAAAGAGGCCCGTGGGACTTGAACACAGAGGTAGTAGACGAGACTGGCCTTAGATGAGCCCACAGGGCAGGCAGGGTCCAGACCAAGGGTACAGACCAAGAGGTTTTTGTCTTCAGATACAAAAGGGAGTGTGCAGGGAAAGTGGTTAATAACTATGAAACAGGCAGAGAAGAGTATGGGCTTATCTGATTTCACAGGACCCGAGCTATGGCAAACTCTGCGTTTGTGGTGGTTAATACTGTGTATTGACCTGACTGGGCCACAGGATCCCCAAATATGTGGCTAGACACTATTTCTGGGTGTGTCTGTGAGGCTGTTTCTGAAAAAAATTAGCACTTGCACAAGTAGACCGAGTAAAGCAGCTTGCCCTACCCAGTGTGCGGGGGTCTCGCCTAATCCATTGAGGCCTTGAGTAGAATGGGAAGGTCACAGGAAGGGTGAATTCTCCCGACCTCACTGGGGCATCTGTCTTCTCCTGCCTCCGAACATCGATGCTCCTGGCTCTCCGAGCTTTGCACGCAGACCGGACCCTACCCCACCAGCCCTTCAGTTCCCCGAGCTTCAGACTTGAACTAGAGCTGCACCAGCAGCTCTCCTGGGCCTTCACCTTGCAGAAGGCAGACCATGGGACGGTTCAGCCTCCATAGTCGTGTGGGCCGATTTCACATAATAAATGCATGTCTACCATTGGTTCTGTTTCTCTGGAGAACCCCGAAGCTGTAAGAAGCTTACGGTAACACAAATGACACTGGTACTGATGGAAATGCACATGGACTTCATCTGGTGGCCACGCAGTTGATTTTCGCCCTGCAGATACTGACCAGTGAACGTTTGGAAAGCTTCCGTGTCCATGACAGCACAGGTACATGTGTTCGGTGAAATCTCCACGGAGTCCGTCATACCGCCTGGCTGCACCCTCATTAGCTAATGAGTTCGACGAAATCCTGAGCACGTGTTTCTGTTAGATCTGTGTGAGAGCCAAAACTTTACATTTGTAACAAGACCCCTTTGAGGAGTATGAACATACAAGTGACCTGACCTCCACAGAATATTTAGAAAATATCAAGAATAATACATAGAGCCATATAAAAGTGTCCACATTTAGCTGTTTGTTTGGGGGGTTTTTTGCTCACAGAAACAGCAGTTTTATATAAGGCTCAATCTAATATAAAGATGAAGCTAAAACCTACCTATAATTTCAATATCATCCATCGATGGGCATTATGAATTTTAATGAACAAATTCCATAATTTTCCTTGTCATAAAAGTGATACACATTCACCGTGGGAAAATTAGAAGATGCAGGTAATCCCAAAAGGAGGAAAATTTAAAGCAGGTTTCTCAGAAGAGCGTCATGTGGGGACAATCACTGTGAACAGCACGGCGTGTGGCTGCTGAGAAACGTCCGCGTTGCACCTGCTGTTTAGTGACCAGATTTTATCCACTTCACATTCTAACCTCTGCCCCACCCATAAATGCATGATTTTCAACTACTAGGCATAATTCCCTCCACGGCAGGCAGCACCACCTACCTAAGCAGGTTCCTGCTGTTGGCCTTCCTGTCGCTTGCAATTTGTCCCAGCGTCCACGGTGGTGAGCGCTGTCACGGCTGGATCTGGGAGGACATGCCCACCCCTGAGGATCGGTTCT